GTATATAAGGCAAATAAGGAGATAGATCCTATTTAAGTGGTAAACATACGACCTAGTTTCGATGAATAAACTGAAGCTGCAATGATTCGCTATTGGATTGTAATTACCTCTTAAATTACAATTTAATTATAATTGCAATTTATGCTTCGTAACATATTAACAAAGATTCGTAACATATTAACATGATACTTATTTTCATTTGTTTGAAGGTAAATTCAGGAAGGAAACTTGCTACGTATTACCTTTATTCAAAATTTTTCACTATTTTTAAAGCTTTCTGTTATTTACAGTTACAAAGCTTATTTACCATTATTGGAATTTATGTAATAAATTGAAAGATTATATTTCAATTATAAACTCTTCTTTATTTTTCTATAGATGTTTATATTAATTTGTCTCAGTATGTCGACCATTTTTGCTGTTACCACTACACACACGCGCTCATTTCTCCTAATAATCCAACAACCACGTTACCAAACCTATTAAGCAGTTTCCTATTTTCCATCTCCTTTCTGTCTCCTTCAGTCACGTCAATGTACACCAAAAAACCTGTAATTCTGCTTAAAATTACGCTTCCATCGTCACAATACACTGTGACAAAAGTTGCAACAGACACAATGACACCATCAACGACTTCTTAAAATGTAAACAATCAGCATCAACCGACGTCACACTACAAACATCACTTAAAACAATACTGTCACGTTGAATAAAAGAGAAACCAGATGGTCCATCTAATTCGCATCAATTCCAGGTGCGCAACTCGTGAATCATCGAATCCCATTGCCTCGAGGCGATCGCGATTGTTTCTTGTTTTATCAATTATTTTCTATTATCGCACCGGTGAAGCACGTTGCAACAAGACCAACACGTTCTTTCACGTTGGTGGAGAAATGGCTGACAAAACGTTGGAATGAACAATCCACTCGTTCTAGCCGCCACGTGAGCCGCACGTGCCAGGATCGTGCCAGAACAACTGGTGCCCCGTTGCTTCTGGCACCATGTGCGTGCAATGAATGTACACGCGTTCTGCACACGCGTCACGTTTTCGCAACGTAACATCACCTTCTCTATCGTAGGTGTTACCCTTTCCTCCCGTTGTTGCGACTTACGCGCCTTTCTTCCCAAGCTTTGTTGCCCGACTCTATGCAAATGACTTTTGTTCGATTTAACGCTGGAACCAGAGATCCTAATTGTAACGGGTGTTGTTTCACGTTTGACATACCTACAGCCTGTCCGACGATCGACGAGGAGATTTTTATGGACGTTGCTTAGAAGTAGAATAATCAAGTTGTATTGTATTAGGTGTGGAAGTAAGTTCTTTCCGACGAATTTCGGTTAATTGCGTACGGTGTGGCATGAATCCAGGAGAAACAGTGACCGCAATCAACAGCAACTCTTGAATTTGAGTGACGCCATCGAAAGAAAAAGGCCATTATCTGGACAACGCAAGAAAAAGTTGATACTGCTCCATGACACGCTCGCCCGCATACGGATGCAGGGGCAAAAGAGGTGATTTTCTCTGGATTGGGAACTTTTACCGCATGCGGATCACTCCCCTGACATGTCACCTTCGGATCGTCACCATCGCTACAACATCACTTAGCAGACACACGATTCAAAACTCTCGAAGACGTTCGAAAACGCCTGGACGAGTACCTACAGATACTTTTCACCTTACGAATTTTTTCGGTCGGAAGTTTCATTTTAAATTGTACGTGAAATCACGCAGACCAGTTAGAACGAGCCACCCGCTTTGCGAATTTCCGATCGTCAGGAACCAATTAATTCGTAAAGGCGGGAACTAAGTAGGTGAATTCTTCCCGACTGGATTCGCATAACCGATTCAAAGGCACCGAGTTCCTATCGCGATGGTATTCGCAAGCTCCCAGAAAAATGGCAAAAGGTCATCGACAATAATGGAAATAATTTCGATCACTGATCTGTTTTCATTCTTTTCAAATAAAACTTTGATTGTACCCAAAAGTCGGAGAGAATTCATTTCAGAAACGGACAGTCCGCCGTGTATAAAGAGGAATACTCTATTAGGACAGTTACCGAATGTGAAACCAACCTGGATAGTCATTACAAAGTTATTCAGCTTAGAGTTTCATAATATAACGAATGTACAAATCTGTTCCATTTAAATGGAAACACACGAATAGGTATCTCGTAGACCGTTGAAGACACGAATACATTGTTACTATGAAAGTTATTTGGTATGGAGAGGGACATTGTGTCGTGCACATAGCTCTATTTGTTTATATATCTTCATTCATAATATGATAACGTTTGTTGAGACGAGTACAACGGTGCGTGGCGTGAGGTCATTGACTCTAGTAGAAGATAATAAATCAGCGAGATTCCAAGGAGTCAGGACAATACGCGAATCGCGAGTATTTACAAGGAAACTTCGATAACGCAAATATTCGAAAAAATTTGAAACTTTGCAGAAATGTGCAAGTTCATGTGATGGTAATAACGAAACTATTTTTCGTTTTCGCAATGAAACGCTCATAGGGGTGAAAACACCCTAAACAAAATTACGAGTTTTCATATTGTCGTGAATGTTCACGAAACCGTACAAGATATGGGGAAACGTTAAATTCAAAGTTTCTGACGTTCTATATTGTAGTGGTAAGAAATTTTCAAAAAACATGCTTTTTTCTTCCCCGCCATTCTATCTTTCGAAAATTATTTACTACCATAATGTAGGTCGTTATAATCAAAATGAGACATTAACAATTATTAATGAAAGCGTAAGGAATTAGTTTATCTTAATTCAACTTATTTCAAGTTTAACCAATTTCACATTACCATGAATCGTCTAAAATCATAGTTAGATTAAATCCACGATACCCCTGCACTACATAAAATAGAACTAATTATTGAAATTATACCACGAAGAATATTCCCATTTCGATATTCATAGAACAAAGTATTAATAAATGAAATTCTGTTTAACGTAAAATAATTATGAATTAAATGTTCCTTTAATTTTATACAGAAATACATCAAACTTCGTCGTTTTCTTGGTATTTCAAAATTAACCGCATTACATGTCAAATTAATAGGTACAACCCTACATAAATAGGAAGATAGACTTATTCATAACACACTTTGCAAGTCGAACTTATCGCGAATGAAATATTTATTTCCCCCCGCAAACTTTACGACGTTGATAAAGATCCTAGTTTCAAGAATTCACCAGCATAATGGTGAAAATCGTCGAATAAACTGTCTTTGATGTTTGTAAAAACGCTTAAAAAGGGGTCACAAGTAGGGGTCGAAAGAGAGCCACCCGCATTTTTCACGAGAACTATACCCACCACTCAACCTCGCAAGTTTTCAGGATTACCATCGAGTTGAACTCGATGATAAACAACTTGAAATGTAACTCCTAATGGCACGTAACAATGCTATTGTACGAGTGTGACCAACTGCCGAGCCTGACACTACGTCCTCAACGACATATGGGACAGAGTCGATGGTCTTGCAATGATACTTCGTGCTTTGTACTTTTCTGGTCGGATGAGCTTTGATAGCACCTTGAAAAAATAAGGGTCAGTACTTGAAAGAGATCATTCGCTTGCTTTTGATACTGATATCGTGGATCGATGATTTTTGTTCAAATTCAAAAAACAGTTTGTACACACGTGAATAGACAGTGTAAAAATTTGAATTTGTTTCGGTGTATCCATTGGGATTAAAGTAATTCAAAAATGTTAGATCATCCCATAAGTACGTGTTGAATTTTATTATTTAGATCAATATTTGAAAACGAACCTTTAAATTTGATTAAAAAAACGTAAGAAAACTTCTTATTTCATAAGTTTTTTCTATTTTCTTTTGTTTCTTTTGGCACGACCATTATGTCGTTAATATAGTACTTCCTCGGATTTTCATTAATATATTTTTCGCTTAATTCAGTTTAATTTACGCATTTCTTCAGTTAGGCGTTACGTTATTATATAATTCATAATAAACGTAACTAATGTTCGATACTGTCTGATATCTAATAAATACTATTTCAGGTGCGTTTAAATAAACGAAAGATTTAGTTGCAACTATACGTTGAAACACTTATCGAAAAAGTTAGGTTAGGTTAGGTATGCACCACTTTGAAACGTATAAAAATAGGTAAAATTTGGGAATTTTTCTCATAGGTGACTACTAAATGAAATCTTTCAAATTTTTCACAGGATATAAGTGTACCTTTCACCCTTTCTCTCCGATTTTGACAAAGTAAAAATGTTACAAAATGGAGAAGTTATTCGCTAACTGCGAAACCCATTCTCCTGGAGAAAACAGCTGAAAGTTACATTTATATTTTTCAGAAAAGCTGAAACTTTTCATTTGGTACCTACCTATGAAGAAAATTACCAAATTTGATCTATTTTTATACGCCTCTATTGGTGCACTAACACCTATTTAGAGTCGAATGCGACATTTTTCGTTTTTCGATTAGGATTGAATCGATACGTACTTTATGCGGCCTAGAATGCGGTTTCGGGTCCTTATTTACTCAGATTTCGTAAACTTCGACGCCTGACCGATTTTACTACCTGGCTATATTTCTTCCTAACTATACCTAATATAAGCCGTATTTTATAATTTCATTTGAATTTTTATTCGTACAAAGTTAATCTTCTTCTCTTCCTTTCAGTTTAAAAGAAGGCACTTTTAGATACGTAAACAAATTACGAAGGTCTTTCATAGAAAACAACTGTGTGTAACGAAGGATGTAAACATTACAGTACATGTTTCAAATTGTAAATACAAAACGCTCTCGTACCTTAAGATACAAGTAGGTTCTGCGAGTGGCTACAATTGAACTGTTTTCAGAACTGATCACGGTGTTTCGCGGCTTTGTGTAAAAATCAATGGAAGTTAGTAAAGAAAGGAAAAGAACTAAGAGAAAAGGAAAGAAACTGTAGGAGAACATAGAAGAAATAAACAGACGTAAAAATAAAAAAAATATCAAATTAAAAGAGACTCACGTTCATCCTTGATCGGAAAACAGCTTGGTGTTTCGATCTTCCGTTCTAAAACAAAAGGAAAAGAAGAAACCAATTAAGTCCATTAAAGCAAATCATTAACAGAACTTAAGTGTAACATGATTTTTATAAAACAACACAAATTCCGGAAAGAAAAAAGGGAAGAGAAAAATGAGAAACGACGAAAACTATTTTTCTGTAAGAACAAAATCGAACAAGTTGAGAAACGAAGAAAAAGGACAAAAGAAAAAAAGGAAGCTGTTAAGAAATTCCCTCTAGCAGCGGTTGCATATACAAGCAAGCAACTGCACCGACACTCTGATTAACTCGGCTTTTTTTACTGTCTCGTTTGCGGTTTTATAGCAAGATTTCAAAAACGCTAAGACAATGCGCCTGCCTTATCCAGCCAAGCACCATAACGTTTTTATGGGACATCATGTCAGCCGTGTTTCAACTCGACGGCACTTCTCCCGCGGTGGGATCATAAATAATGTACCTGAAAACGAGCACACTCGTTTATTGTGGACCTACCTGTGCAATATCCTGATTCATCACCTGCGCGAATTAAGTTGTTTATCCACATAAATTGAAATTATTGACAATCAACTTGAGTAGATTATTTATGTTGTACACATATATTTATTTAAGCGAAATAAATGAAAATACTTCTTGGTAATTATCACTTTATTGTATAAGTACGTTATACGGTTGTATACAGGATGTCTTTTTTAACTGGA